TCTTTCTTTGAGTGCACGCCCAGCGGCAACCTGCTCAACCGTTTTGCCAAAGAGATTGACGCCATTGACTGCATGGTGCCCGACGGTTTGAAAATGATGCTGAGCTACGTCTTTAAACTCATGGAGGTGTGCATCATTGTGATGATGGCCACGCCTTTCGCAGCTGTGATCATCCTGCCGCTTGCCTTCCTCTACGCCTTTGTCCAGGTACATTTTCCCCACTAATGACTTTGATCCTTACTTTTTCTTTGAAAGCATTATTTGAAACATGGATCATCAGGAGCTGGGTTCCATTGCTGTGTGTTATTGGAACGCTCTGAGTTCCAAAACCAACCCTGCTGATTTTGCTTTTCACATGTATTTTGTTCCCCCACTTGCTGACATAGATTTTACACACATTCACTGTGAATTATGGGAAAGCCCTCAGCACTCCCCCTCAGTCTCACTCATTAAAGCTGGTGTTTTACTTTTCCACTGTGGGTTACAGAGCTTCTACGTCGCCACATCCTGTCAGCTGCGCCGGCTGGAAGCTGTGAGCCGCTCGCCAATTTACACCCACTTCAATGAGACGGTGCAGGGCGCTGGCGTCATCCGGGCCTTTGGAGAGCAGTCCAGGTTCATTCTGCAGGCCAATGAGAGGGTCGACTTCAATCAGACCTCCTACTTCCCCCGATTTGTGGCCACCCGGTGAGATGATTTGTGATAGTTCTAAAGTGTTTTGATTCAGTTGTTTATTTATTTGTACAGCTAACAAAAAGGATGGCAATGGTTAAACAAATTGCCTCTGACTTTAATTATAAGGAGATATTTTGGAAATTCTCGGCCCACAGCTAAATCATTGTTACATCCACAGGTGGCTGGCAGTCAACCTGGAGTTTGTGGGTAATGGCGTGGTCTTAGCTGCTGCCATTCTCTCTGTGATGGGAAAAAACACCCTGAGCCCGGGCATCGTTGGTTTGGCTGTGTCACACTCACTCCAGGTAAGAGGTTCTACCTATGTGCTCACAAAAACACAAACACACACGGACACAGCAGTTCTGTTGGTGTCCAACTACCCAGCGTATTAACAACGCTCCAGTGGCATGTTGCCTGTGGCGATAAAAGTTTATCTGGAAAAAGTAAAATGTTAAGGTTGCTGTGCTCAATCAGCAATCGATGTGCAGCCCAGGAAATAAAAGACATTGAAGTAAAGCGTGTTGTCTTGGATACTGCAGGTGACAGGAATCCTGAGCTGGATTGTGAGATCCTGGACCGATGTAGAAAACAACATCGTTTCTGTGGAGAGAGTCAGCGAGTACGCAGAAACTGCTAAAGAGGTACACAGACACACAATCACTACCTAGTACACAAACAAATCCAACCATGTACAGGAGAAGATCTTCTCTGTTCTGAACTCACCCTTTGCTATGGTCTCATTTAGGCCAGTTGGAGTATAGAGGGGAGCTCCTTGCCCCTGGCCTGGCCCCAGAGCGGCACCATAGAGTTTCAGGACTACGGGCTGCAGTACCGCAAAGGCCTTGAGTTGGCTCTGAAAGGCATTACCTTGCATATTCATGAAAGAGAGAAGGTGAGTCATTTTGTGTGATACAAAACACACAAAATTGACTTAATCCTGGATCACTTAAATTGCAGTGTGGTATCATACTTAAATTCAAAGTAAAAACCTCTTCTCACAGGTTGGAATTGTGGGTCGAACGGGAGCGGGGAAGTCCTCACTTGCCCTGGGAATCTTCAGGATCTTAGAGGCGGCGAAGGGAAAGATCTTCATTGATGGCGTCAACATCGAAGACATCGGACTCCATGACCTCAGATCACGCATTACTATCATTCCTCAGGTATGACAGTAGTTATAACAAAAATCGAGCTCTGGCTTTCATCATATAAACTGTTTGCAATAGCTCCAATCCGTATCCATTCCAAAATAATCCATTCCAAATTGTAATAATCCTGTAACCGATCTGGACAGCTCAGTGCTGGATAACAGCTGCTCTCCTCTCTCCCAGGACCCTGTGCTGTTCTCAGGCTCCCTCCGGATGAACCTTGACCCATTTGACACCTACACCGACGAAGAGATGTGGAGTTCCTTGGAGCTTGCTCACCTCAAAAACTTTGTCTCCAATCTGCCTGACAAACTCAATCACGAATGCTCAGAGGGAGGAGAAAACCTCAGGTATGACACGTTGCAGTGCAGATAAACAACCATTTGCCAAGTCAGTCATTACATACATTTTTATACAGAGATCTACACTAAGCTCCAGGATCAGGCCCTGTCTAATATGTGATTCCACTCAACCCTCTCCAACTCTCCTTTTGTCTGTGTAGTCTGGGTCAGCGCCAGCTCGTGTGCCTGGCCAGAGCCTTGCTGAGGAAAACCAAGATCCTGGTGTTGGATGAGGCAACAGCTGCTGTGGACCTGGAGACAGACACACTCATCCAGTCCACAATCCGCACACAGTTTGAAGACTGCACTGTCCTGACCATCGCTCACCGCCTTAACACCATCATGGACTACACAAGGTAAATTATAATCCAAGACAATTATACATCCAGTCAAAGGTCAAATGGTCAACTGGTGAGTGACAAGACATTTATCAAGTAGAATATCTAAAGTCTAATGGCTACCGATTCTCAAATGTTTTTGGTCTGAGAAAAGAATCGATAGATAGGAATTAGTTTGGATTCTGAATAACCTGTGGTGGAAATGTGTCGTAAATTTGACACTTCACAAACAAAACAGTAGTTAAAAATATTTTATTGTCCAAAAAAACACTTTGTTCCAACAATTCAACAATAATAATTAAAAAACATCTGTATCCTTTTTTGCTGCCCCACAGAGTGATCGTAATGGACAGAGGCCACATTTCCGAGATGGACACTCCAGCCAACCTCATTGCACAGCGGGGACAGTTTTACCGAATGTGCCGGGAGGCAGGGCTGGTCTAGGTCTCTGCTGGAGCCTCGTTCCTTGGAGCTGGTGACAAGGAGTGCAGATGTGGCACCTTACTCGTGTGGCTCTCCAACACATGTTAAATGGGGCCATTCCCAGATTTATGGCAGCTCAGAACGCCTCTCCAAAAGGGCATTGTCTAAGAATCCCAAGAGCAGCTGCTGACTGTCCCTACAGAATCCCACACACTCAGACATGCTTTTGTAAGTCAGGAAAAGACATTTGTTAACCTCAGATGATGAACATTCAAAAGAAGGCTACAGTCGATTGTCAAGAGTCTCCAAGCTATAAATATTGTACATAGAGTAGCGGAGTCAGTTTATTCCATGAAATGTTTAAGGCAAATGCTGGAATGAAAGAGTACCACAAATGTTAAGGATTTTCTTTTTTTTTTTTTCGAATGGGAGCTATATTATTTTTATAGTTTTTGTAAGTGTTTATAAAGCACATGGCATATTTTTGATGTTCTCTCAGGCTTAAATGTTGATGTTTACTCATAATTTTTTTGCCTTGTATACCAAAAAAGAGGCAATTTTGTAATTGTTATTAGATGGAAACCTGTTCTGCCATCTTGTCCCAGAAACTGGGACAGGAAACATTCTAACACACTAATCTTCAAAAGGTTCCGCCTGGCAAATGCGAGGGAAATGAGGTTTTCACAGCCTTCGGGATCCGTGCTCGAAGCAGCCAATTTGGAGTTTTTATATGTCAGAGAAAAAGAAACACTGATTGAGCCAAAGCATTAGCAACTGTCCAACTATGTTGTGGCTGTTGTTTATTTCTGTCAAAGTAAACATATAAAAAAAGTCAATAGAGACCTTGCTGGTCAGATTTAACCTGACGCCGGTAGTGAAAAACCACCATGAATGAAGAGAATGCCTCTTCAAAACAATGGTGATAAATCTTTGTGTGATTATCTCTCTGCCTCCACCACACAAATTCAGGCCATACACATACACACACACATGCACAGAGTATAAACAAACATCAGTATGGTTTCAATGGTGCTGACATGACAGACTGTACATAGTCCACGTTGACCTTTAGTCTCGATTCGAGGAAAGAACCCTATGAACTTTTCAAAGTGAAGAGGCATTTGCTGTTTTTGTCTTACTGGTTTAGACAATATATTCTAAGAGAAAGCCTATAGTTTATTTATGTCAAATGACAAAATGTAGTTCCTTAAAATTCTGAGGATTGTATTATATTTATACTTTTTATAGCGAGCTTGTTCATTTTTCATTGACTATTTTACTGTAAATGTACTGTCTTGTTCCATACATCATGCTGGATAAATAAAATGTATTTGATTCAATGTGTGAATTTGTGTATTTTTGAAGGGAGTTAGCACAAAATGCATAATAATACATACTTTAACTCAGTCTACTAAAAAAATACAAATTTGGAAAAATGGGAAAAACAATAGAATGACAGAAGCAAATTAAGATGAAAGCTCATTTGACAGTGGTGAGGGTAAAGTTGGTTTTACTATTGTATCAGTGGTAATCCAAACCTTATGGGACAAGTGTGATGCAATATGAAAGGTCACAGGTCACATTTTAGCAGAAAAATCCCCTTCAGACGGGTTTTGAAATACAGAGAAGCCTGTGTTAAAACAAAAATGTAATAATAATTCCTGTCAAATTCTTAAAATAATATCTACTTTGCTCCCTACAAACTCCACGAACATACATCATTCTGCAAAGTGAAGCTCAAACATCCCAATCAAGTAACAATAAGCTAAACAGTGCATGGGGACTTAAAATAACTAATAACTAACTCAAAAATAGTTAAGTTAAGTTAAGTTAAGTTAAGTTGAGCTGAGTTGAGCTGAGCTGAGTTGAGTTGAGTTGTGAAAAGGTAATCCTTTGTACAATTGGGAAATGCAGTGTTACAGCAGCAAGGGGAGGAATCAGTAAAAGTAATATATAACATAGATATATATTCAAACAATCCAGTATAGTTGTATATGTTGTGTCAGTGAGCTGGTGAGAGATGCAGTAGACTGAAGTCAGGCCTCTTTCTCCAAGTGGCGATGAACCAGTCAGTTGTAGTTACTTCAGTCAGTCACTAGATGGCAGACTCTCTGTATGAACAGCTGTTGCCTGTTGGTGGTTTCCACTTGTTGCAATGGCGACCATCACTGAGCTGAAGTGTGGTAAGAGCTCTCTGTATCTCAGGGTTTTCTTGATCAGATGCCCGCTTCCCTCTGAGATCACACAGGGACAAACACGCGACAGGTCAGGCCACTGCATGAGTTCATCCAGAGCTGCTAACAGGGGTTAGCTAAGGGTTGTTTAACCACAGCATCGTCTATGAGTCTCCATTCAAAAACGGGATGATTCAGCGGACTGAGCTGACCCTCAATGGGACGCAGACGTGGGACGACAACATGTCACTGCCCTCTCTATTATTACATTATGCATTTCAATTCGGCTTTGCTAAAAATGTTATTCAAAGTACTCGTGTGTCGTTTAGTGTAGGTTTTCCGTTGTTATCATCCGCTAGCTAATAGCTCATGTTAACGCTAGCTAGCTCGGTGACATTAAGCCTTTAGGCGATTGTTGTGATATTGTAATACCAATGTTGTTAAGTAAAGACACAGTGGTTCTAAACATGTATTCCGATTTGAAGAAGGGTCTCTAATAATTCTAATAAGCGTATATTTCACTTTTGAAGAGGTCTTTAGCTCTGTCATTTACGAAAAGCTCGATAAATTCCCAAATATCTGAATGAAGTATGGCGGATGTTTAGAAACCTCCCATCATTCGGGACGAATGTTTGCTGAAATAACGGACCCATACGAAAGGCAAGCTTCTAGTCACTGTGGTCACATGGGAAGTGAATCAACCCGATTCTTCATACTAATCTGTATCCGGTCCAAATGTGAATATTGTAGCCGTGAGGGACACACTGGAGTCCCGCGGGGTGCTGGGTCAGCTGAAGGCTCGGATCCGGGCAGAGGTGTTCAGCGCCCTGGATGATCAGCGGGAGCCTCGGCCTCCGCTGTCCCACGAAAACCTGCTCATCAACGAGCTGATCCGAGAGTACCTGGAGTTCAACAAGTACAAGTACACGGCGTCAGTACTGACAGCAGGTCGGTGGGTGGTGGGATGGGGTCACATTAAGGATTGTTCACATTGATTCACTGTTGAAAATACTTCATTCCTCCTCATTATCCCTTCTCAGTGGTCAAAGTGTTGGATTGATCACTCTGAGAGTTTAGTTGTAGTTGTCATTCATTTCAGTGTAATCCAAAACCAATTACGTGTTTTCATTAATGAAATAGGAGTAAGAAGAAGAAAACTCTTATATAAACCTGCCCCTCGATATACATAACATAAATACAGGTGGCCATCCCTTTTTTGATTTCCAGGATTTTCACAAATTACATAACGAATAAATTATACATTAATCCATAGTCATCAACATAGTATATATATATATATATACTGTATTATTATGTAAGTTTTTTCTGTTTCTGTAGTTTTTCTGTATAGATTTTCTGAAATAATATTTGGACACTTAAATACATATTTAAGAGAATACTGCAGTTTCACTCCATACACAGAAACACACATCTGCTGCATATTAACTTTAGAAATTAGACTTCATTCCCTGATCCTCATTATCTTAATGTAAAAAGCTTCTTTGGGTTTTCAGGTCCTTTTCTGGCTTTACACATAACCAATCATGTTTTTATATCAACTAAAAATATAAGTTTCAACACGAATGACTTCTATATGAGGTTTCCAAATAAGGTTGTCGTCCATTGCAACACCCAAAAATCTGAAACTCTTTCAACATGAACATGCATCCATAACCATTTTGTTTGATTATCCTTTATTTGATTAGCAAAAACTTGTTTTTTTAATTTAATTTCATTAACGGCATCAACAGCACTATCTGTAAGTGTTCCTAAATCTTACATTATAATCTTTACAACTCAAGATTCCAACTGCTGTTGTTCAGTGTTAGAGCAAAGTGTATTTCTTCTAATCTCAGCTCTGTTTGTTTTCTCAGAGTCAGGCCAGCCTGAAGTCCCTTTGGACAGACAGTTCCTGGCGAGTGAGCTGAAAGTCACAGAGGATGCGAGCTCCAAGTCTGTGTAAGTGAGTGAGTCAGGATGAGGGAATAAACTGTACAGTCAGTTCTTCACAGTGCTTAAAGACTTACTGAACTCACTGGGGGGGCGTAATATATTTAGTAAAAGCTCTGTGGATCGTCTCCATCATCAGAGTTTCATTTTGAAATACCAAGAGGGTTTGAATAATTGCAGCTTGCCCCCCCTGCTTTGATGAAACATGACCACAAGCAGTTTGTGCTGTGAAAGTCCACATTTCTCTGGGGGGGTCTTAGTTTAGCACACGTGACTCTGCAGATGTAGCAGGATGTTGTAGACTTGCTTGTGTCACTTCGTAACACTCAGTTTCTTTCCCAATCACTTACCTCAGGACCAGAATGAAAAGTGAAAAACTTTATAAAAAATAATGAAATGAATTGAATAGAACATGTACTAATGTCACCATAAAGACCAGTGTTTGATTCTGACCTAGAACTTAATCAGCCAGCTCATAAAGAAAATAAAGATGCCAAAATGTTAATCACAGGTTCATTTTACTTTCCAGACCTCTTCTCTATGGCTTAGTGTCCCACTTCCTGAACAGCGGTGATAAAGGAGGGGTGTTCCTGCGGGGATCCTCTCTGCCAGCCGGCCCCACTGCCAGCGACATCGGACCTGGATCTAGTGCTTAAGAATTGACAATGCACTCAATACTGGCAAACCTTGGACTAAAAACTAAATACATACATGACAGGGAATGTAGCAGCAACTCATCGGACATCTTGTCCTTAGATTGTACTGTGAGTGTTATTTGTATGCATTACGGCATAGAATCCAATATGGTTGCAGCAAGCATTTGTATCTGTTATTTAAGTCACTAAATGCCACAGATATCCTGTTCGTGTTATGATTTTGATATCTGGCTTTACCGATTGCAGTCATCCATATTCCTTGCTCTCTCTCCATTATTCCGACAGAACTTTGATGTCTTTTTGATACTTTAATATTGTCTTTTAATTGTTAAAAATAAATTGTTTTTATATTTATACTCAACACTGAATCAAAATGGTTTGTAAAAGTGCAGTCTTATTGGAGAACACATGGTGGCAGTGTCACCAAAGATAAAGCTGTGGACTGGTACAGCCTGAGAATGAACAGTCATATCTTGTTTCAACCTGGAACATCATTCACCAGCTCAAGAGAATATCTTAAAGCTTTTGCATAAATCTCACATATTAACATGGAGGCATTTGATTTCAAAAATATTTCTGACAAAAGAAATTCTCATTTTCAGACTTTTAAGGTCAAACGCAGAACACAAGAAGTGCACTTTACCTCACAACCACATTTATGTAGTTTAAACAATATAAATATATTATGTTTTATAGACTGGTAACACTCATTTATATATGAGGTGTATTATTTGTCTTTAAAAGTGTATTTGCAAGCACAGTTATGTTCTCAATGCAGTTGCTTTGCGCAGTTATAACCACAGGTCAGTTTAAATGTCGCTGAATAACCTGCTGCCAAAAGTCTATTTAATCTATTTAAGTCACATTTACTTACCTTCCTGTGATTGTCTCAACACATCGGCTGTAACCTTGTTGTTCTGTGGAGCTGAACCCCCCCCAGCACCCTTTTCCCTTGAACCGGCCACAAATGTATTTACTAATCCTACTTCAGCCATGATTGTATGTAATAGTCTGTTAAGATGTCTTATCTTGGTCTCTATAATCCACATGTTTATGCTGAGCTGAAGGAGCCAGCCCCCCTCACACTTTTTACTCTGATGCCTTGTGTTCTCTGCCACTGAAGAGAGGAGGCTGAGACGTCCTTATGATCGCCTTGATTTCGACAAATATGATGCAAGACTGAGATCATGTTAACGTGGCAGGAGAGTACAAAGGCCCCTTTTAATCGAGTTCCGCAAGTCATGGGTAAACTTACACATTTAATTCAAATTATGCATATGATTCTAAAAAACTAAATGTAAAAACAAGCTTCACATGCAGACCAGAGCCAGTGCTGGACACATAAACAACAAGCCCACACTTTCTGCATCTCACTTCCTGCCTCGCCATTTAAGGGAACTTGACATTCTTATCTCACACCACTTAAAACATTGAGATTCTGGAACTGATTATCCATTGGGCCGACCATATCTTTCTCAGCCTGACTTCTGAGGCTGGATGCTGGACGAGCTCCACCTCTTCTACCACCTCTAACCTAATCCATGTCCAAAGTACTCTGAGTTTTAAAGGTGTGTTTGTCCTGTCTCCTCTTACATATCCGCATCTCTTATTGTTGCTTGTAGAGGGTTTTATAAGTGAGATCATAGCACTCACAGGTTCACTGAGAGAATGAGGTCATGATACTGAGCACACAGTGTATTTTTCATAATTTACCAACACCTCTGATTGAGACGAAAGAAGTGAAAATGAAATCCAACCATTTACCATCTGTGCAGGTTTTGCAAAAAGATGGGACTTTATGTCAGTGCTTCTCATTCCATTTACAAACTAGAGCCCAAACCTCCACAAGGTAAATGCCCTATCACATCATGTTAAAGTAAATGGGGGAAAGAATTCAGAATTTGAGTTTGAGTTCTTGAGTTCTTCCCTGACCCATACCACATCCCTCCATAAAGTTTGGTGGAAATCCGTCTGGTACTTTTTGTGTATTGCTGCAAACAAACACATTAAAACATAACCTCCGTGGCAGAGGTAAATATAATGTGTTGTTTTTTGCATGAAAAAAGTGCATCATCTGGATCAGTCTGAATCCACTCTGCTTCCTTGGATCAAACCTTATTTGCTTTTAAAGCCTGTGGCCCTGGGGCTCCTTGTATATTGGCACTATGAGTGCACGCTTCAAAATGGCTATATAAGCGTAGGAAGTTTGACAATGGCAGTTGATTGTTCAATTGGCAGTTTGCCCCGTAATAGGTAGCATTTCTCCTCTGCTGTATAAATTATTGGTGTGTGTACAAGAGACAGCTGTATAAATAGTATTAAATGTAGTGGTCCTCTCTCGACTGCAGCAGAGTGAACCGTTGTTTGCCCCCAGGCTCAAATTAGACGGCAATGGCATTCCGCAAGGGTCAAACATATCCATAAACATATTTTCTCTGTGATAGATGGCCATGTATGGACATGAGTGTGAGGAAAAACATTAAAGATATCTCATTCAAGGGATCTCTGCATTACAGTTCATGTTGTGTTTAATTGCTTATTTGTTCTACCATGTTGTGTAGCTGTAGAGGGACATAAATGTGAGGCTTGAAACTTCAATCATTTGCTGTGTAAAATGAGTTGAAATGTTTTGATTGAAAAAAAACACACAGACATAAATAATGGTTTTTTTTCAGTATAATTCCGTCTAAGATTATTTATTTTCAATGCAAAATAATACAATTTACTGAACACCACTGCACTCAACATGATTCACTGAGACTTTTACTGCACGCTGACTCCCACCGCCTCCTCGCCTCCCTGTCACTGCTGAGTTTTTACAGGTTTGAGGAATCACTCAGGAATTATTATTTGTCTCAGAGAGGGGGGAGGGGGTGAATGTTTCGACCAAAACTTAGGACCAACTCATTTTGTAGGAGCACGTTGTCCCATGTGAACTGTTCAGGTTGTTTGCAAAGAGGGGGCTGTCCTCCCTTCTCCTCACATCACATTATTATCACACAAAATTATAGAAGTGACCTTTTCACAGCAGTCATGGAGTAATGACCCTGTTATGTATTTGTTTGGGCGGTCAGAGCTAGAGCAGGTCGTCCTCTAACCAGAGGGTCAGCGGTTCGATCTCAGTCTCCTCATTCCGCATGTTGATGTGTCAAGATACAAAACCCCATAAACAGTGCTGCCGGTGTGTGTGTAGATGTGTGATGGAGTAAGTGCTGCAAATAGATGCACTGTATGAATGTGTGTGTGTGAATGAAAGAATGGCAAAACTGTACTTTAAAGCAATTTGAGTAGTCATTAGGAATAAAAATACATTATGTACATATATGTCTGTATATATACATACAGACAATTTACCATTTGTGGGGGGCTGATCAGCATCATCTTATAGTCTGTGTGGCTTTGAAAAGGGAAGCACACGGAACTGCATCTGTCATATTTATCTCATCAGCAATAACAAGACAGATCTGTAGTCCTCTGATATTCCCTTTTTACCTTGGTCTACCGTAGATTGATAAACCATTCCTGTGTCCCAGCTCACTACAGGTAAGTTATAAGTTATTTCCACAGAGGCAACTTTGTTTGTTTGAAGAATGCTATTGCTGCTGGACCATATTTAGTCACTGGGGCTTTGGGTGCTTGCCTGTGCTCGACTTTGATTGTAACACAGAATGCTGCTGAGATTCCACACAGACCCACTGTCCTTATATGGCACACACTGCAACCTCTCTGTTCAATGTATCTGCTGCTGCTTTCTCTCCCTCTCCTCCTCCTCCTCCTCCTCTTCGCCTTGCTCTTCTCTCTGTCTTGCCTCTCTCCTTGTCTCCTTGCAAGCCCGGTTCCTCCTTCGTCTGAACCGCCGCCCCACCTCCCCTGAGGCTGGCCAGAGGTAGCCCAAAGGTCCAGCATGTTGGAAAGCGTGCAGTTCCATGTCTGCCTGGTATAAAACAGACCCAGCCAGCAGCTTGATTTACTGGAGCAAACAGAACAGTGTCCTTATATAGGAAGTTCCATCAGAAAGAAGCTGGGGACAGGAGGGATGCAGCGAGAGAGGGATGGAGGGGGGGGCAGGGCTGGCGGATGATAGTGGAACACAATGTGTGTAATGGAAGGAGACCCGTACACGCAGAGAGAAACTCACATAAATTATGTGAACTGTGAGTTATGTGTATTGGGGGGGAAACCTCTGTGGAGCAGTAACAGTAAAGGGAGATTCCTGTGCTGGGGAACGCTGGTTTGCCTTATGAGGAGTGATTGCTGATTGCATAATGCAACTTCACAGGGTGTGGAAGTGCAGCATGTGTGTAACTGGTTGTTGCGTTTTTGTTTTTTCTGTCTTATGTTTTACCTGAGAAGTAGTAACCTGGCTGATCCTGAGCACAGCCACATATATCCCACATTAGAGTTTGTTATAAAGTAATCAAATAATGATACAGGCTTCAATCACAGGGGGGTATTCCTGCAGAACAAATACTTGATACTTCATGTTAATACATCTGTGCTTTTATTGTACACACTTTTCCCATTAAATATGCAGAGCCGGAGCAAAACCTTATCCCTAATCTTAACCATGATCAATTCATTCTGGAGATGTATAATGTAAAACATAAAACAATGTCTAATCATTTAGTAGAATTACTTAAATTCCACCACAGTCACATTTCTTATTTGTCGTCCTACAAACGGGTAGACAAACTTCACATCATCAAGAATGTTCTGGTCCACTGGGTACAATCAGACATACTGTAAAGTAAAGTAACTTAATGTAATGTATTGTAATGCAATGAAGAGCAACATAAAGTAAAGTAAAGTAAAGTAATTTTAAATAAAGTAATGTAATGTAATGCAAAGTAAAGTAATGTAATGTAATGTAAAGAACAGCAACGTAAAGTAATGTAAAATAATGTAAAGTAACGTCAAGTAAAGCAAAGTAAAGTAAAGCTAAATACAATTCAATGTAAAGTTATGTAAAGTGTCTCAGATCTCTGCACAGTCCCTGCAGAGCCTCAGTGTTGAACCAGCCCTGTGCTCATTGCGCATGTCCGCTGCCTCCTGCAGATGCTGGAGGAGGGTCCACTGGAGCAGCTCCACCCTGACGCAGCGGTGCGCAGTTTAAATGCTAAGCCTGTGAAACGATCGGGGGTCAGTTGGACTGTTCGCGTTTGGAGTATAAACCTCGTCATCGCCGGCCGCTCCAGACCCTGACTCTCCAAACCCTCTGCTCCCCTCTTCTCTAACTCCTGCTCATCATGTGAGTATCACTGACCGTGCACTGCTGTTGTGTGAGCAGTGATGCTGCTGCGCTGCACTTGACAAAGCGCATCACTTTCACAAGTTTGATGACAGTCTGAGGAGGAGGTT